CCTTTAATTTACCAGTTAAGAGCCCACAGAGACAGTGACGCCTTTGTTAAGCACACTCATCGCTAACAATGCTCGTTAACTACACAGCCTCAATGGGTGCCCTTGAAGGTTTGTGTGTCTTAATCAAAGTCACGATTAGGTTAACCCCAGGGCTGGGTAACTCAAGTCCAAAGGCGTATTTAATACCAGCCAACATCAAAGCTTTACCAATTCACGCGCAAGCAATTACTCCCGCCTTTGTGCCCGTCATGCTCAATTGAGTTTTTTTTTACTGCCGTACCCTAGCCACCTCCCCTTGCTCTCGCACAGCCTTTAAACCCGATGTATCCCTCCTGCTGCTGCTGCTGCTGCTGGAGAGCGTACTTGTGAATCCGGCTGGGTAGCACGGTGGCCGCTTGGAGAACTCGACTTACAATGCAACGCTGTGAGTTCACATCCCGCTCGTCCGTTCTACTCCTCTCCTCCGTCGTTTAAGAGCCCTCGGGGTAGCTGAAATGAGGACCACATTGTGCTCGAGGAAGCGGGGGTATTGGGAAGAAACCCATCACACATATTAGGGGGGTAATGCTAAAGCCCAGCGCAGGTAGATTCAATAATCCATTGCTGTACTGCCATCTCCTAGCAACCTATGAAAGTGGAGATGATCATTGTCCCATAATTACACTTAAATGTATTACGTACATCCTTTTGTCTTTTCGTGAAATACAAAACCTCAAAACCAATGTAGAGTCAACTTACCAGGCATATTGCCAATTCCATTGCCCAGATCTGTATGGTAATGGAGTGGGAAACATTTTCAAAATGGCATTCTTACATATAAAAATAAATATCCTAGTCCGCTTCTCTTGATATTCTATGATTTGTTATTCAAGGTCATGATTCAACATAAAAAAAAAATTGTGGTGGATTGTAGCAGCTTTAGTGCCTGTCAAGGGTAACTTGAACTCTAATTACATGTGCACAAATGGAACAATCAATTCTCACATGCGCCGTGCATTCCGCGTATCGCGAGTGTGAACACACATATATATTTCAATCGGTGCAATGTTGCACTGCTATTTATACAGCGTGATAAGCATGCAGGAATCAATGTGCATGCGAGATGTGTGCTGTGCCCTCCTTTTTTGCACCGCGCTCGTTTGTTCCCGGGCCCACGTTTCTGTGCACAAAGTCCCCCTGACACAATTTAGGGCTCTTCCTTTAAATGTTTACTATTTCTCCAATTTGATCCCGATTTTATGAACGGCGTCACATGGTCACAAGACGGAAGTAGCCATTCAGATCTCTTGCAGAGCAGTGCGCGCACCCTTTGTGTTGTAGAATGACCTACCATGAAGCGGATATCTCATAGCTACCACTAAAATCCCTTTAACTTCACATTTGGTGCACACAGTTGAAAGCAGCACTTTCCCCACCCACCATGCCGCTGAGAGCAATGTTCATCTCGGGGTGTCCCAACCAGTGTTTTTAATTCTCCGAGCTGGAATTGTGCCAAATGAAGGTGCAACCAAATGTAATGGGATGGAGTTTTTGTTGTATTGTGTATTCAATCGTGAACAGGCTGAGATCATCAAATCACCATACTTGAAAACCCGGTTTAATCAGAAGCCACTGAAACTTGGATTCCAATCCAGGATCTCGGCGGGTGCCACCTCAGCGTTGTCGCGGTCTCTGAGCCGCCCGGCCACCTCACGGTGTGGAGGCTCTCGAAATGTGCCAGCCCGGCCAGCCTCGCCCGGCCCGGCCCCTTATTACCTGCCGCTTGCGCTGTTCCCCCTTTCGCACGCCCGCCCGCCCGCCCGCCACCATGAAAATGGCATTGGGCCTATGTCTACTCGGACCGAAATGTCTTTCGATTTGCTCAGCCAGACAGTGACGGTGGGTCCCCCGAGGCTCAACCGCCAAGGCGCTTTAGCGTCCTCGGGAGAGAAGCGGCGGCGCTGCTCGCACAAGAACGCGGCGTCGCCCTGTTGTCGTCTGGCGCACGCGTCTGTAATCACATTTAAAGCAGATTTCCTTATCTTTGGTTATGCACGTTGAACGGTACCCCGAGGAACGATGCTCACCCAGCGTGGCGCCTCGGTAAAAACCACTCGCGAGATTTACTGCGCCACACGCCACCTGCCTACTACAAAGAGCCAGCCGCCGACAACAGACATTGTTGGCGGCGGCGTTGCGCGTGCGTGCGCGCTACCTTTCTGCGCTGGAGCTATTGATTTAATTTGTTTATTCGCAGTGTGAGGCTGGAGAACGAGCGAAGGACGGCCGCGCGCCGCCTCGCCGGGCAAAAGCAATCTCGCGCGTTCAGGATGAAAACGGCGTTTGTCAGTAAAGTGAAGTCAAGGTGTTCGCGCGGATGTGAGCCCCGTGCTCGATTTTGCACGCTTTCGTTCTTGTCTGGTGTCACCCTGAGCCAGCGATGGAAATTCCACATTCTCATGGCATGGCCGTGGTCCCGGTCCCATCTCTGTTGACTGACTCACAAAGGTGTGTGCATTTTTAGTGACCCCAATAAAGGTGATGATCGGAGTAGTCCACCCAACAGATTAATTACGGCTGTCCCAATGTCATCCCGATTGTCATGAAATTAAGTACCCGTTTTGATTACTCGCAGAGCATTGCATACCCCGTATCAAAGTCCATAAATTTACAAAAAATAATGAACAACCAAAATAACAGCCCTTTTGAGGGTTGTGCGAAGCCTTAACCAGATCAATAATGCGGGGGATGTAGGTCCTGTTGAAATGTTGTACGCCCCTATTGTAGCAGCCTGCCAAAGGCAATGCCATCCTTGCAGGACCGCCCTGGCCTGAAACTACATCAGTGATCTGTGAGATTTTCTATAAGTGTCCCTGACAAGGGCGATGTTGAATAACCCTTGCCGGGTCCCTTTGCTTGCACACCGAGGCCAAAGATGCCCGGTAGTTGTTAAACAAGTGCAGCCACACTGAAAATGTAAAGAAAATTCCAAGAAATGTAAAACCGCGATCCGAAAGCCAGAATCGGGTAAACATCACCACAGAGCAATGATGACGTGGTTCCAGCTGCGTTGTCACGCTGCGCAGAAACGTCACGTGCCAATGCAAGTCCCAGTTCAGAAACTGTACTGTGCAGTCAGAATCAAAATCTTTATTTATCCTGGAGAATTCTGATGAGTGATGAAGCAATTTTTTTTTACAGATGTCCAGTAGAGCCGGGTCAGAAAGCTACAATAACAAACAACACCAAAAACGATCGGAGTGCAGAGTATAAGAAACGTAAACAAATAACTTAAAATAAATAAAGTATATAATTTAAAATGGTTACAGGCGTGGGTCAGAATACATTCATTCGGAAGCTCCGGGAAGGCAGCAAAACAACAGCAAAAACAGTCGCAGACCGCACCAAGACAACACACAGTCCCCTCAATAAAATTGCACATTAAAATTGAACTATCGATACACGGGTAAGTAACTGCTGTGGCATTCTAACAACATTGCCTTGTGGATTTTGGTGGTTGCATGTTTTTTCCTCAGCTTTCACTTATTTCGCTCTTTTTATTTGTTCAAATTTCTATTTGATAAAATCTATAAAAACGACAGCACTTATAAAATGGGCCAGATTTGGTCGTCACGAAATTCACGAGGCTTTGTGAACTCGAGCGATACGTCAGGGGCGCCCCACTCCTCACAAAGCCTGGTGTCTCGTGGACACACTCTGATCCACGCCTACAACAATTCCACCTCGGCAGCCATCTGATTATGGCTTTTTTTTGTTAAACAAATTTGAGTTCATGATTCGATTCAAGAATCAATTTGCTGGGTTTAGCATCTCGTAATGTACACTATGTAATTATTTTCTCCTTTGTAGAGTTATGTAACAGCACATCAGGTTATTGGCGTATAATATGCGTGAATTGTTAATCATTTATTCCTGCACGTAATTTGCCGCACGTAATCATGAGAGCGAGAGTTTATTTTAATTGATAAATCCATGCGTTTTTACGCAGCTAATAATTATGTGCTATTAGCCGTAGAAGGCTCAATGCGAGCTCGTCATCCGCCATGAGGTGGTCTACAAAATTGGCACTATTCCGTGGGAATCTGACAAGTCATCAAAATTAATTGTCCTGATTATTCTATAGGGTTCAATTAAACTTTTCAAAGCACTCAATTCAATTAGCACGGCAAGTACCTGCCTTTGTTTGTTTGTCAATACACTGCTTGTTCAGGGCCCTCCCTATGCCATGCAGGCCATGCGGGTTATTTCACCACGTTGGTTGCTCTTGACGGGGATCATTGATGTGCCAGTGCACAGTACAGAAATGGATTTTAGTGGGCTGCCGTGTGCTACCCACCATGCGGGCCCACCACGGCCTCCTGTGAAACCCTGTCTGTGCGTGGTGGTGGTCGTCACCCATCCAGGCACTATCCAGGCTCCAACGCTGCTTCACTCCCAAGACTTGACGAGATGATGGGGCGCATTCCGGTGTGGTTTTCCCATAGAGAGCAGTGCTTGGCGTATAATTCAGCAGTGGTTCTTGAATGGGGGTGACTGCTCCTATACTCTTTGGTTTTTTCGGTAAAGTCACGTAGGTGAACATGAAATGAAAATGAAAACAACTAAATTAAATCACGACGTTTCGGAAGCAACACAAGCCTCCGTCATCAGGTGGAACTGCTACAGCAAAATTACTGTAGTGAAATGACTGCTCCTAGCAAGGGAATGTGGAATTTCTACGACTGGCTCAAGGGGGGCCACCCAGCAGAGACCATTGCCACCGAAAAACGCCGGTTTATCCAGGGAAACCTGGATTTGTCATGACGGGCCTGATTTAAAACGTTTGGCCAATTCCTCAGAATATGTTTTGGTGTGGGAGGAAAGCGGTTTAATTTCGGGAGGTGGAATGTACACTGCCGTCGTGTTGGTGGAGGAGGGAGGAGGGGGGCGAGTGGGAGGCGCTACCCCATAGGCATGAGAGTGACTGATTTTTTTTTCTTCCCATTTTGTTTCTCCTTCAGGCGTTCGTCTTCAAAGAAGCTGATCAAGAACCCAGCAGTGTCTGTAAGTGGCACCTTGCTTACGACCACGCGAATAAAAAAAAAAATTATCGACCGGCGCACCGCTCGTTTGATTTTAATTTTTGTTTAATTCGCTGTCACATTCGCATGTTCCCTCTGAACCCGCCACCCCAATAACACAGCCACCAGCACCACCTCTACTACCCACCACAACCCCACCATCTTCTTGGTTCTTTCGGTAAAGTCACGTAGAAGGGAAGTAATAAAATAATAAAAATAAAACACAGCTTAAATAGACACTCCAAGCCTAAGACGTGTCATTTAGACTCTGTCTTATCGACAGACATGTTCTTCACCTGAGGACGGCTGCTTGCGTTGTGGCCGAAACGTCGTGAGAATTATTTTATTATGTTTTATTTTTATTATTTTATTGCTTCCCTTCTACGTGACTTTACCAAAAGAACCAAGAAGATGAATCCCTGCAGTAACGAAAGCTTTAAATCGAAACCCCACCATCGCCACCATTGCCACCGCCTCGAATACCACCACCGCCACAAACCCAAAACCACAACACCACCACCATTGCCACCACCACTTCTACCACCACTCACCTCGACTACCACCACATACACTATCACCAGCGCACCACCACCACTATCACCGTCATTGCCACCTCCACTCCTATCACTACTACTACCACTTTCAACACCACCACTAGCACCATCATGACGACCAAGGTCACCACCACCATCTCTACCACAATCAAAGGCAAAGATCTCCATATAACCTTAACAGACTGTAAGAGCAAGAGCGGTTAGCGAGCACCTATGAAGGCCGGCATGGCACACAAGGGGGTGGGTGACCAGCACCATGCCCAGCCGCCTTTGTCTCTCTAGTGGTGATATTTACACACTGCACCAGGTACCCATTTGAGGCTGAGTGGACCTAGGGGAGGCCAGGACTGGTTCAGATAATAGTCACTGGTGTTGGCCATGAGTGATCATTCAAACTCAGGTCGCTGAGTTCGTGATGCAGCACGCTAACCACAACACGACCGCACCCCACATCACATCGACTCCTACCATCATCATCACCAGAACCTTCAACTTGGTGATTTCAGTGGTGAACGTGGTCTGATGACTCAACTGGCAATCCCAAGGTCCCGTGTTAAAATCAAGTCTCCTATGGTTTGTGCTTCGAATCACGCTTGGGGAAAAAAATTGGTTATTAGCGATTTACAGGAAATATATGCAAATGCTAATGTACATTTAGGTTAATGAAAAAAAAGCGTTTTATTTTTTGTCTTTACTGTGAACATTGACTGTTGGCTGCAGGCTTTACATAAACCAATTACGTCCAACATACACAGTGGCCAAAATAATGAATTAGTACATAACATATAACATAGTAGAAAATGTGTTTTTATAAAATTTGGTTTTAATCGATGCATCGTTCAGTCGCTGATTGAGGCACTGCATTAGCGCACAAGTGGCTGGTGTGGCCAGAATCACACTCGGCCACCTTGGTCACCCTCGTGCTCATGTTTACATACTACACCATCTGCTCATTTTAGGCTGAGTTGCCCTAGGAGGAGAGTCCCAAAACTAGGTTCAGAATACCACCGGCCACTGCTCACGAGCATGGCTGGGAATTGAACCCAGGTCGCCAGTGCATTTGTTCACTGGCTATTGTCTCACCCAGGGGTCGGGGAACCAATGGTTCACAAACCCAGACATGGCCGTCGCTTGATATCGTTTGGCCCATGGCCACACAATGGCTACCACTTCAACCCAACCGCAAACAATACTTAACTGGCACTGCCAGCATCTTGGCCGCACTAATCGGGTACTGGGGGGGGCGGTGGGGAATATTTTTGACTTTGCAACTTTGCATTTTTTATTTTCATCTTCTTGGTTCTTTCGGTAAAGTCACGTAGAAGGGAAATAATAAATTAATAAAACATTTACATAATAAGATAAAATTCTAACGACGTTTCGGCCACAACACAAGCAGCCGTCCTCAGGTGAAGACAGAGCTGTCTGAAAGACAGCGCTCCAATGGCTCATTGGAGCGAAACAAGAAGATGAATCCCTGCAGTCACGAAAGCTTTAAATCGAAAATTTGTATTTTCGTTCCATGCTCTTGTCACGTCGGCCACCGCAACGGGCCCCTTACAGTGACACGAGCCGGCTGGCGTGTGATTGTGTGTGTGTGTGTCAATGCATGGTTGCCCGCTCAAGGTGTTTGAAGGTCCTCTTCGGGCCTCGTTAATGAAAGAGTGGTCCCCCACTCCGGATCTATCTGCCGTGGTAGAGCTCTCTGCTAACATTGGATGTTCACACAGGATGAAGCTGTCGGAAAAGATTCTGGTGGTGGTGGAACAGCGTGTGCTGCTGCTCTTGCAGATGCAGAGGTGAGAGTTTACACCGAGGGTTCGTGGAGAAGCAATGTTCGAATCTTGGGGGATCTTTGTTGAGGAGCTTCACCCAAAAGATTTTGCTTTGTTTATAATCGATACTGTGTGTGTTGGGCGGTTGCCTGGATTAATTAGGATAAAGAGCACAGGCCAGCTGAGTTAAGGGAAATTATATTTACATTTGTACAATTTAATGGTCAAGTCATTTATGTACCCAGGAATACCTGATTATGTCTCAAGCCTCTTCATGTTGGAGTAAATGGAGTACCCAGAGAACACCAGCCATGCATACGAAGGGATGACACTCAAAGCTCTGCACAGATGGATTCGGTCCATTACTGTACTGCCATTTACTGGCCACCTGTAGCTCAAGCCTACATCTGGTATTTCCCATCCAAATGCTAACAAGGGTTGCCTCTGCTTCGCTTCAGAGATCATTGGGTGGCACGGTATCGAGATGTTAACCACCTCGCCGGGTCTACAGGAGGTCGTGGGTGCGATCCCGACCCTGACGCCTGCTGCTGTATATTTGGAGTTTGCGTATTTTCTCCGTGGTCGCGTGGATTTTTCTCTGGGCCCTCCAGTTTCCCCTCCAAATTTAGAATCAACATCACGTGTTTAGAGTGTTTAATTTACATTTCCATACGATAAGCCACTTCGTTGAGCTGTCATTTGTGGCCAGGTCACTTCTGAAAAAGAGCTGTATAGCTCAGTGGCCCTTACCTGATTAAAAAACATAGTTTAGTTTTTTTCCTATTGCCTGTCAGCACTGCTGTTACTGCCTCTAATGCTTTATACATGTCACGGAAATTGTAAATTTGATTAAACTTCACTGGATTCAAAGAAGCGTTTCAGCCTGAGCTGTGCCAGCTTAGGGCCTGCACAAGTGTGGGTGTTTTTTGTTTTTTTTCTACTGGCTGCTTGCCATGTCGAGCCTGAACCAAGATGGTGACACATCGGCCTCGCACATCTGCATCTGGCTTGGGGCTAGGCAGGGCCGCTGTTCAGCGTAATGACTCGTTCGTTACTTGTGAAGTCAACGGCACTGCTCGGCTTCTGCAGTGGAAAAAAAACAACTCGGGCTCCTCCTGAATCCCCGTGTGGCATGGCTGTACAGTGGAAAATAGTCATTGGAGTCAACTTTCTTGCTACGGTACTCAACGGTTCCCTCCCCCTCTCTCCACCGACCCCCTCCCCCCCCCTACTATAATCATTCTGTTTCATCAGAAGGATGACTTGCAGAGCCACAGCACACAGCGCAAGCCAGAGGAGCCGCCCCGGCCGCCCCAAGCAACTGATCACCGCTTGATCAATGAACTCGCCTTGCGAGATGGCAGTAACACCGCCGCTCCTCCACCTTCGGTCATTGCAGCAAAACTTGAACCGCTATCACCGTTGCCGCTGCTATCACCACCGGTGGAGGTAGAAAGAGAGGATCAGAAGAAGCAGGGGGGGGAGCAAGGTAACTCCGATGGCACAAGCGTGGCGGTGACAGCCGCCGAAGGATCAATCGTCTCCCCAGAAGAAAACTGCCGCCCCCTTGTCGTGGGCAGTGCGGCGATGCCGGAGGTGGTGGCGCACGCCCTGGAGGCCGCCGACAAAAAATCTGAGTACGATGGCGACAAAGCAGGAGCACAGGGCGAGCAAAACGACGTGGAGGCGTCGGCGGAAGGAGGAAGCGAAAGGGGGAGCAGCGGAGCCAAGCCGGGAGCCGATCCGCCGGCCGGAAAGGAACCCGTAGAACCAGCGGATTCGAGTACAACCGCCGCTGCCACCGATCGCTCGGCGAGAGCCTCGCAGGAGCCCGACATCGTGGCGAGCCACAAGAAGCCACCGCCGCCACGGCCACAAGTGCCGCCCCCCCGCGTGCCGGCGGTTCATGCGCAGCCACAGCAACAGCAGCCACAGCAGCAGCAGCCCCAGCAGCAGCAGCAGCAGCTAATGCCGCCTCCACGGCCACCCCCTCCACAGAGACCTAAGAAGGTAGAGGGGCAGCCGTCGCTGGAGGAGGTGAAGAGGCCAACTCTGCTGGAAGGTGAGTACCGAGTTTGTGTGTGTCCCCGTGCAAGGAGAAGTAGTGTAGTAGTTAGCGCGCTGCGCTACGTGCCCAGCAACCCGAGTTTGATTCTTGCTCGCGGCCAACACTCGTGATGATTATATGAACCAGTCTTGGGCTTCCCCTGGGTCGGCTCAGCTTCAAATGAGTACCTGGTGTGGTGTGTAAAATCATTGGAGAGACAGGCGGCTGGGCGTGGTGCTGGCCATCCACCCCCTCGTGTGCCGTGCCGGCCTTCATAGCTGCTCACTGATAGCACCCCTGCCCCAACAGTCTGTTAAGGCTATATGGGTGATGTTAGTCTTTGCATTTTTGTGTTTGTCGTGTGTTTATGTAATGATTCAATACAATATCAAAGCCTTTTTGCTTTGATATTGTACTGTTACACAGGTCTCCGTTACTAAGCGCATTTATAATCTTGGTGATCTCTCACCGCCTTGACATTCTGACTTATTTTGGCGAGGACTGTTTGGCCATACCTCACCATGCCACCCAGGGAGCGTAGAATTACAGTTTGACAATGGATTTATTCGTTATATGTTTATTTCGTAAATATTTTGTCATAAAAGTTTAATATTTTAGAATTGAAACTTTAGAAAGGATTATCATGATATTGTCATATTTTACAAATCAGATTATCGTTGACCTTTACTTCCAGACATGGGCTCAGTTTCAATTGTAACTGTTGTCATAATAAATTGCAATCACAGTATAATTGTAATTTCATCCACCAATGCTGCTTTAATTGTAATTTCATGGACCTCTGGTCCGCTTACGTCGCACAGTAAATATTGTCGTCTAGCCGTACCGTGTAACCCCACCGTGATTGCAGTTGTCCGCTTCATGCGTGGTTGCAGTCCCACAAGAGCCCGTGTCTCCAAGCGGTCTGGTGAGCCCCAACACAGCCGTGGAGAATCTTGCCAAGGAGCTCCAGTCCCTGGATCTCGCCAGTCTCACGGCAGGGGAAAAGGTCATCGAGGCACAGGTGAAAACCCTCGTGTGTGGGGGGGGGGGGGGTGCGGTGGTCGCGACGTGGCCAGATGGCTCGCGGGGTCGGAGCATTGAGCCGGACACCGATCAAACCGGTTGAGAAAAAAAACATCAAATGCAGCGAGCGATTGCCTGTTTGTTGCCGTGTGACGAAACCCCCCCACCACAGCAGGGCGTGTGGGAGAATGGCCCAGATGGGGGGGGAAGCGCAGTCACGAGACGAGGGCTGAGGGTTTCTTTGAACTCCCGGCGACGCCGGGTGTGATGGCCAGCCAAAAAAACGTCGCGTAGAATCGTTGACTGTTTTGTCATGGTTTTCGACGTAACCGGTTTGGTGAAGAAGAAAATTGACGGGCGCATTTGTCCAGGTGACAACTTGATTTCTTTGGCTCTTGTCATGCGGTGGATGTAGAGTGCGTGGAGCTAATTGGGATTATACCCGCACGATTGAACTCACAAGAAAGCATCTTCAGGAAAATACAGGAAGTCAAAATGTAATTAGTTCGATATCGGAAGCCAGTACAGTGATTGGAGAACTGGCGTTGATGAGGTTTTCTCCCTGTCAGGAGAAGGATGCTGGTGGAGCTGACAGTCGACCAGCAGCTAAAGCTGATCGCCCACGCTCCAATTCTGGACGGGATCTCACCGACGAGGTGAGATCTTGTGCACAGGTTTACACAGTTTGTGTGAGTGTGTGTGTGTGAGGGCATCATGCTCGCTAACAGCAATTGCCCAAACAGTGTTAAGGCTTTACTGTGGATCTTTGTATTTTTTTGTCACTTGAGGGCATAGTGGGGAGCGGTAGTGTAGCGGTTAGCGTGCTGTGCTACAAACCTAGCGACCAGAGTTCAATTCCTGGTCACGTCCAACACCAGTGATGATTATCTGAACCGGTCCCCTCGGTTGACTCCGCCTCAAATGAGTATCTGGTGCGGTGTGTAAACATCGCCACTGGGAAGACAAAGGCGGTTGGGCGTGGTGCTGGCCACCTACTTCTTTGTTGTGTGCCATTAACAGCACTTGCCCCAAAAGTCTTATGGCTCTACGGGGGAAGTCTTTCTTCTGTGTGAGAGAATGTATCTCTGTGGGTGGAGAGGAAAGATTTGTCTAGATTTGAAGCTTTCGTGACTGCAAGGATTCATATTCTTAGGTTTTTTCGGTAAAGTCACGTAGGTAAAACATCAAAATTAATAAAAATAAAATAAAATAAAGATCATGACGTTTCGGAGGCAACACAAGTCTCCGTCATCAGGTGGGATTTGGCTGTGACGGTCCCACCTGATGACAGAGACTTGTGTTGCCTCCGAAACGTCGTGATCTTTATTTTATTTTTTTATTAATTTTGATGTTTTACCTACGTGACTTTACCGAAAAAACCTAAGAATATGAAAGATTTGTGGTTAGTACCAACCTGGCAACCTGAATTCGATTCCTCGCCATGACTAACAGTGGCGAATTTCTAAACCTGTTCTGAACTTCTCTTAGGTTAACTCAGCCTCAATTGAGGACCTGGTGTCATGTGCAAACAGCAGTGTTGGGGAAACAAGTGGGTGGGCGTGGTTCTGGTCATACCACTCACTCTATAACCACACTTGCTTCAACAGTCTATGTGGTTGTACGGGGGGGACCTTTGTCGTTTTGTGGGGTCGTGTGAGTTTGATAATGGTCATATAATGACATGTGAAGCCTCGAGTTTCAATACATTGTCACGATCTGGGCGTGTGATTTATTTCAATAATTCATTCCTGTCTTTTTGTATTCGTAGCATGCGTGTCTTATGCGTTGTGGGTCTCTTGTGTCGCTGCACCCTTTCATACCATCTCAGCTGTGTTGCCCGCATCAAGTTTATCAATTGTCTCATGTACATTAGTTTAAATGTACATCATGATATAATAGTCATACTTGTTGCACTCACAATTCTACGCATGTGCAGTAATCGCAGGAATCACCAACCCAGACTGACCAAGTGGACAGACCCCTCTCCCAGCAGTTGATCGACGACAGGTCTCTAGCATGTACAACGACAGTGACGTGATTGGGAGCAAGCCGCTGCTGTCGCCGCCGTTTTTTTTACGTTTTCCTCTGTTGCCCCGGCAGGAAATCCTTGCGATGGTGATCGTCAAGAACCTGGACACGGGAGAGGAGATTCCGCTGAACCAGGCCGAAGAGAAACTCCCAAAAGGCCACAACCCCTTGGCTTTGCACATCATGCGGCGCACTAAGGAGTTCATCAGGTGGGCGGGGTGCCTGGTGGGGATTTGAGAGATCGGGCTGAGCAGGGTTCTTTAAGCGCCGTTTTTTTTTTCTTCCCAAGTTTTGGGCAACCTGTTGATCGATTACTCGTCTTTTTTCTGCAGAGCCGAGTGCCTAACAGCAGTGCAACTTTATACTAAAGTTTTGTTGGTATTCGAGCACCGTTACAGACCGGCGGACAGACGGCAGGGAGGGACAGACAGATAATTATGCGTAACCGGTCAAATTAACCTTGGTTGGCAAACAAGCAAGAAACAATATTGTTGACAACATCACTGCATTGTCACACACCAACACGCTGGGACGACGTGCACACCTTGACGGCCTGCAACGGTGTCCTGTGCAGCAGCATAGGTGCAGCGGGCTCGGACGACGAGGAGAAGTGCCAACCTCAAGGAGTGGAACAGGACGGCAAAAAACTCAAGCAGAAAACGTGAGTTGCCTGTTAATCTCCGTAAAAACTGAAATAGTTTTAGTTTATTTTATCAGGTAAGGCCAACTGAGCTTAATGGCTCTTTTTCAGAAGTGATCTGGCCACAAATGGATAGCGCAACGAAGTGGCTTGTCGTGTGGAAATGTATAGCAGCCAAATACTCTAAACGTATATGTTTTGACGATGTGGAGGGAAAAACTGGAGGACTCGGAGAAAAATCCACATAACTACGGGGAGAGAGACATGAAAACTCCAACATAAAGGCGTCAGGGTCTGGATCGAACTCACAACCTCCTGTATACCAGGCGAGGTAGTTAACATCTCCTAGCCACCGCGAGAGCCAGTCCTTTTGTTATCGCTCTCCGGAGCGCACGTTCCGGTCGTGCCGCGCGCCGCTCGGCGTGACGACCGACGTTTCGCTTCACGTGCTGGGAGCTGCTTCAGGAACTGGAACGATGTCCGAAACGTCATTAAGCTGTTACGGCACAACCGGCGAAAATATACGCGGTAGCAGTTCGGGTTCTCACCGTTCACTTTAGTGGCGTTTTATGGAAATTTGGATTTTCATCAAAAGTGAAAAATAGAATGTAAATCTTGAGAAAAATAAAACAATGCGATTATTATTTTAATTGTTAAAGTAAGTCAAAAGTTACCTGCCCTGCCAAGCCTTGCCGACTCGTGCTCCTTCACAGAGTTCAGCTGAAGCGGTTCCTCGGGAAATCGATGAAGAAGGCCAAGGTGTTGGCCGAGGAGTACGGCGAGCGGGCCGTCAGCAAAGTGCGCAGCGTGCGGGACGAAGGTACAGCCTCGCGAGAGTGAGGGCGCACGCACACAGACAAAGATCCCCCGTATAGCCTTTTAACAGACTGTTGGGGAAAGTGCTGTTAGCGAGTAGCACCTACGAAGGCCGGCACGGGACACGAGGGGATGGGTGGCCAGCACCACGCCCGGGACGCCTTTGTCTCCCCAGTGGCGATGGTTACTCACCGCACCTTGTACTCATTTGAGGCGGAGTCGACGTATGGGAGGCCCAGAACCGGTTCAGGTAATCGTCACTGGCGTTGGCCTTGATCACTTCCCCCAGCGTACATATACACGTAGGCTCACACGCGTGTCCGCGGCGGCACGCTCCCCGTGCCTCTCGTCCCTGGCCAGTGCTGCACGGGGAGCAGGAGGATCAGTCGAGCGACGAGGAGGAGGGGATGCCATACACGAGGCCCGTTAAGTTCCGCGCCGCACACGGCTACAAGGGGCCCTACGACTTCGACCAGATCGTCATGGTGCAGGACCTGAGCCAGGAGCACAAGGTGAGCCGTTCTGTGACGCCCTTGTGATAACCCTGCGTTGTGAAGATGAGTAACTATGTGCTGGCCTCCTCGGCGTCGTTGAGCCAATCTCTGCCGTGCCCCGCGTTCCTCCGCACTGCCCAGGGCGCCGTGTGGACCATGAAGTTCTCGCACTGTGGGCGGCTGCTCGCGACGGCCGGGCAGGACAACGTGGTTCGCATCTGGGTGCTCAAGCAGGCGCACGAGTTCTTCAGCAACATGCGGCAGAAGTACAACACGGAGGGTGCGCAGAAACGCGCACACTCGCGCACCCACACTCGTGCGTCATTTCCTTGTACCTCCGATTATCACGGTTGGCTACGTACGGTGCGAAAGCAGTCCAACATACACACATTGGAAACCTACACGTTGAACTGTGGTCACTTCTAGTCCCTCCAAGACCTTTTGGGCTGTTGGTGATGACCGTTTCCTTCACCAAACTCGTCTCTTTGCAGTGCCTCTCCACTCCCCTGTTCGTCGCCACGCCTTTCAACTGAGAGAACTTCCATCCCCGCCCACTGTTTGATCGTTGCCTTCTCCTGAACACCTTCCAATGTTCCCTCCATCGCCATCCTCTGCAGCCGGTGCCGTTCACCGTTGTCACACCTCTGAGATATTGCAGCTTCCCTCACCTCACTTGACGTGGCAGCCTTGACTTGTTGTCAAGGCTGCCACGTCAAGGAGACTTCTTGTTTCTTTGTTGCTCCTTCATAAGAAAATGTCAAGAATTCTCTGGAAGCCGTTAATTTTTACAGAGGCAGTGATTCTCTCCTGTTGTCTTATTCTTCAATCAAGAGTTACAAGCGGTGACTTCCTTCGCCTAGTTTTCTGGGGACACCTGTGGCGTTGTTTGGGCTGGCCACGAGAATCAAGACAACTTCACTTCTAGTTGCTCAGTGTGGACTCCTCCATACTCATCTGCTCGATAGTGATTTTTATTATCGTAGCTTCACACGATCGTCGAGAATGCTCAAGAGACTGACTTTGTACCGGAGGTGTTGCGTTGTCACGTTCACACGCAGACTCTTTGGGTCTTTGACGTCCACCTTTGTCTCTCCAGGCCGGGTGTCTCCCTCTCCTTCCCAGGACAGCCTGAGCTCCATCAAGTCAGAGACAGAGGTATACGGCAAGCGCAGCTACAACCGCATGGCTTGTGCCAGGCTAGGTGCACGTTCCCTACCGTCTTTGAGCGGCGTATGTCCGATAAATCTGCCCTCAAATAATAAGCCCCTATTTCTGTGAGACGTGGAGCCTTGTGGAATTTCCACATTCCCGTGTCGAGGCTACTCTCTGCAGCAAAGGATAATTGATAACGATGGTTTGAGTCATCTCCAGACTAGGATGTGAACTCTGAACCGTCCAACTATGAGTTAAGCACATGGACAAACTGACCCATAGCAGTGGCAGCAACAAAAACAACACGTGCACAGCATGTTGCAGCATAAAAACCTCACCCGGTGCTTGACTATTGCACTTAAGTATCTTGTTCCTCGAACACATCGCAAGTCCAGCCAGTTCTGCAACGCGGATTGGATATAACGCGATGAATGTATGAGAGAAAACATTATTTTTTTATAACGCGGATGTGAATTTAATATTTAACGCGATTTGAGTGAACGGAACTACGTCACGCGGGTAGCAATAAGTGGTCCTGCGGCTGCCTCGCCGTTGCATCACACAAGGCATTGGGATGCTGCTGGATACTTCCAGATGCTACCCACGCACTTCAGTCTTTGCTCAGCCTGCAGACACGTCTTACGTGTTTTCGCGGACTGCGCTTTACCCTATTATTTATTATAACGCGGGTTTTTTCCCTCACGCGGTGTTCTTCTGGAACCCACCTACCGCGTTATAGGAGAACACACTGTTCTGCAATCGATTTATGCATCTACAGCCCTCATGGCTTTCTGTTGCTGGATGACGGCCTCCCTACAATGCGTGGGTCACAGAGGGGTTATTTGTTTGCGCGCGTCACGCCGGTCGGTGTGCGTTGGCGGAGACGTGCAACGTAGGTGTGGGGAGTTCGCAATCGCAGTACACAAGTGGATCTTTCTGCAACTGCCCTCCGCTGCCCTCCATGTGGCACAGCCTCGCAACCTGGCGCGCGTCACAGCCGCGCGTTCAGCCCGGCCTGGCGTGCGCGGTGTGACTAGGTCGCACGCGACCCGTGTAAGATTTGGACTTTATGAATCATTAGACGCAAGCTCAAAGCAGAATATTGAAAGCTGGCACGAAAATCAACTCGGAGCCAGTTCTAGCGATGCCAGTATCCAGTTTATGTAGACTAGCCCCTAGGTCGGTGTTAGCCGCGGAGGGCGTGATGGTTTTCTTTTTTCATTCCTGTTGCTCTATGTCACATGTACTGCTCTCGTTCTATTGTAATGTGCACTGATGCCTACCTTGATTGAGGGCTACATTGGCACGTAAAATAAAATTGATTGATTAAATCTGTATTTGGTTGTCAGAATTGCTCCTGAACCTAGCGATCAACTGAACCAATAATAACTGGCACGTTGAAACGCTTGTTCTCCATGGCAGTTGAATTTGTTTGGCTGCGTCGGGTGGAGGAGGGTTCATGATGCAGATCTGCTCAGATCATTACGAGACCAACCCCAAAAATCAGTGATGAATCCTCGACTAGCCCGACAATAACCTTAATTCTCCACCAGCCAATCCGGTACATAGCCAACTCCAGTGCCTATTGACGAGCAGTGCTTCTCATGGCACAGATCGGCTCTCCGGACGACGCTGAAAGGAGCGACAGTGCGGCGCCCTTCAGGAGACAGCCTTTCTGTAAATACAGCGGACACACGGCCGACCTGCTTGACCTGTCGTGGTCAAAGGCAAGTACGCGTCGACGCACGTGCCTCTACCCTTCCCATTCACCACCTTTGGGAGAGATCTTCACCACCACCATCGCCACCGTTGTTCGCGTAACCAATACGTCCACACAACACCACTACCAACTCGGGCCAGTATTATCCACTTGAGCACCACTGGCTCAACCAGGGGTTGTTTGCCATTCCCACCACCATTCGCACAGCCAGCACGTCCTCGCTGACGTCGCTAAGCCCACAGCTGCCGTGTCCAATACCTTAGCCGCTGCATCTACGCTACCGCTCAGCCAACCGCAGTGGGTCGTCAAAATAACGTGGCCAGATGTACCGTACCTCGGTTTACTAAAAAAAAACAATCTCAATTTTACTCCCGAAGCTCAACTTTTGAAGAGCATGCAAAGCAACGCCAACTTGTAAAACTACAGAATGATCATGGCGTGGCGCTGCGGTGGTGAGATAATGTTGAATAATAGTAATGGTCAGCCGGGGTGGCTAGGAGATGTTAACTACCTCGCTTGGTATACAGGAAGTCGTGGGTTAGATCCCGACCCTGTCACCTGTTTATTTGAAGTTATGTTCTCGCAGTGGGCGCATGGATTTTTTTCCGGGTCCTCCGGTCTTTCACTCCACATTTAGAAACAAGCATTCAGAGTATTTGGCTGCTATAAATTCCCACGTGATAAGCCACTTTGTTGGCATATCATTTGTGGCCAGGCCGCTTCTGAAAAAAGCTCTATAGCTCAGTGAGCCTTACCCGGTAAAATAAAAAGTTGAGTTTATTGTTTTTGTTTATTATGGTACGTACGTTGAACTTCCTTCGGACCGTACGTAGCCAACCGAGCTGATCGGAGGTGCGGGGAAGGACAACAAACTAAACACAAAAACCTGTTAAGTTTTTGTCTTTCCCCGCACCTCCGAGTAGCACTTTTCCCTACGTACGGCGAGAAAGAAGCTCAACATGTATACGTACGAAACAAAAGGTGAATCTCTACTCTCGCTCTCTCGACGTCCACAGAACTACTTCCTGCTGTCGTCCTCGATGGACAAAACGGTGCGGCTGTGGCACATCTCGCGCAAGGAGTGCCTCTGCTGCTTCCAGCACATCGACTTTGTCACCGCCATCGCCTTCCACCCGCGGGTAACACACGGCGCTCGCTCGCTCGCTCGTGGAATCCGTCCGTGACTTGTTTTGCCTGTCAGGCACTGCTCCACCGAGTGTGGGATAGGGTGTGCGGAACAGGATTAGTCGGGGGTTTGGCTCTGTTTGCCGTGACTGGAACAATGAACATGCATTGCCGTTGGTGGCTTGCAGCCATATGATAAAAAAAATATCACAATCCCCGTGATAGCTTCCAGTCTAGGTATAGGAGGATCACTTGTTACAATACAATAGGGGCTACTAATCCGGCAGTCCGAGTTGGATTTCTGGCCATGGGCTAACTTGAGAGGTGATTATCTGAACTGGCCATGGACTGCTTCTAGGTCCACTCAGCCTTAAATAAGTACCTGGTCTGGTGTGTAATCATTGGCACTGCGGAGACTCAATTGGCGCCTGTCCATCCAGCAGAATAACTAAGTACAACCGTTCAGCGGGGCTGGTGGTGGGGTAAGTGTAAATACTCCCACCTCTTCCAAGACGTCTGGTCATTGTGGAAGAAGAGGTTCTGTCTAGAGCCCTCTCTCTTGAAGGCCCTTCAGCCAGCAGTGACATGAGCAAGTAATGGCAGGGCAGCACCGTTTCCTTGTATATGCACGTATGTGTACATATGTAGTGATTAACTCGGAAACGATAAGACTTGGAGGCACTTCTTTATTAACAAGCACCATCGGGGTTAACACTCTTCATAATCAGTCCGTCTATTGCCGGCGACAGTTGGTAGGCTGCCTGACTGGCGGCATCCCGAGATGGTAAAGACGGAGACGTTGACGAGAAGGACGGTGAAGACGACGAGAAGGATGGCTACGAAGACTTGAGCAGCACGACGGGTTATCCCACTCCAACAACAGCCCTGAGGTCCCCTACAGGGGCCCCTCTTATACTGTCAGCGTGGCCTGGCTCCACCCCCAGCCACGCCCCCTTTCTGGAACCTACTAGCGAGTTGCTGGTGTGCCCCTTTTGTGACCTGTGCCCTAGACCCGCTCTCGTGTACATCCCGGCCTGCTGACGTCAGGACTGCCCTAAGCTGCAGATCCCCTTTTCTGCCAGCAGCCGGCGCTATGCCACTACACAAAGATAAATACCCCCCAGATAGCCTTGAGCAGACTGTTAGAGCAAGTGCTCATAATAAAGGTTTTTGGGTTCAATCGCGTTATGATGCTGGATGTAATTACCAGCGAAACGTCGTACTAAAAAATTGTAAATGCTGTGGATTCACTCTTCAAAACACCGGTGGGCTAAAGTAGTGAACTATTTGATTTTTGTCAACGTGACACTTTTTTTACTGTTTATATTCTTGGTTCTTTCGGTAAAGTCACGTAGAAGGGAAACAATAAAATAATAAAAATATAAAACAATAAAATTATTACGACGTTTCAGCTGCAACACAAGCATTCATCATCAGGTGTGAAATCCACAGCAAGAAAATTTTCTTGCTGTCGAAGCGTCGTGAGAATTTTATTGTTTTATATTTTTATTATTTTATTGTTTCCCTTCTACGTGACTTTACCGAAAGAACCAATAATATGAATCCCTGCAGTCACGAAAGCTTTTAATCAACATTTTTTTACTGTTTGGCCGTGTCGGGTGGTGAGGGATTACGACACATTTTTAAATAACGCGATCTAACCCAAAAACCTTTATTATGAATAATATTGGTCACGAAAGCCGACGTGTTTAAAATGAGAGCAAGTACTGTTCGTGAGCACCTATGAAGACGGTACACGAGGTGGTGGGTGGCCACACCCGACCGCCTTTCCCCAGTGGCGATGTTTTTTTACACATCACACCGGGTACTCATTTGAGGCTGAGTAAACGTAGGGGAGGCACACGATCGGATTCAGATAATCGTCACTTGTCATGGTGGCCGTGAGCGGGAATTGAACTCTGGTTGCCGGGTCCGTATCCCAACACACTAACTGCTACACCAGCACTCTCCACACACATACACATCACACACTTATACACACGGCTGGATTAAGTTTGATTGGAGCCCGGGGCTGTTCTAGTATTGAGGGCCCATCTCTGCAGATTGAATTCCTATACTCGACTCCATTTACCAACCACCGCTCATGCCAAGTACAAGTTTAATGATCAAAACTATCTTGTTTTAGTAAATAAAACTCACAAAGTTATACAATGGTGATGTTATGGCTGTAATTTACAAATGACACTGCAGTATCTATCGCAGTGCTACAACTGTCATGAAACAGTTTATTTTTGTGGCGCTCCTAAATAAATCCGTGGCCCTGGGCAGCAACCCCTAAAGCCCCTGCGTTAACCAGCCCTGTGCATTATTTCATACACACCAAGACAAAGATCCTCCATGTAGCCTTTAACTGACTGATGGGGCAAGTGCTGTTAGCGAGCATCTCTGAAGGGCAACGTGGCACACGAGGGTTTGGCCAGCACCACACCCGGCCACCTTTATCTCCCCAGTGCTGTTGTTTACACACCTCACCAGGTACTAATTTAAAGCTGAGTCGACCTCGGGGAGGCCCAGAACCGGTTCAGGTATTCGTCACTGTCGTTGCGGGAATTGAACTGGGGTCATCGGGGTCGTAGCGCGGTGCACTGTCCGCTGTGCTTCCACTCCCACCCCCACTCCCCCATTCAAACGTATAGTTGCATGTACAGCTTATGTACATACACGATGTAGATACGACACATTTTACTTTACCAGGTAAGGCCCACTGAGATATTTCGCTTATTTTCAGAAGTGACCTGGTCCCAAATGTATAGCTCAAGGAAGTGGCTGTTCCTATCGACATTTCTAGCAGCCAAATATTCAAAACCCATGTTTATAAATGTGGAGGGAAAAACTGGAGGATCCGGAGAAATCTACACGAGCACAGGGAGAGAGGCATGCAAACTCCAAATATACATCAGGCGTCAGGGTCAGGATCGAACCACATACTCCTGCGTAACAGGCGAGGTAGTTAACATCTCGCCACCGCGGCGCCCATCTGAGCGACTTGTGTGCTGCCGCTCTGCGCAGGACGACCGCTACTTCTTGAGCGGCTCGCTGGATGGCAAGCTGCGCCTGTGGAACATTCCCGAGAAGAAAGTGGCTCTCTGGAACGAGGTGGACGGGGCCACCAAGCTCATCACGGCCGCCAACTTCTGCCAAAACGGCAAATTCGCCGTCATCGGCACTTACGACGGGCGCTGCGTTTTCTACGAGACGGAGGTGAGTTGGTCCGTGCAGCAGGCATGACACGGGGAAGCATGGCGCTCCTCTCTCACTCGTAAGTGTCCGTTACTTGTTATTTTGTCTTTCCTGACTTGACATTTATGCAGGAGAGCCACATTCCGATAACGTACGTCGTGCATGTCATCCGTTTTTCTTCCGATTGCCATTTCGATGACCAGAAGAAAAACTAACGGTACCGAGGCTCCCACAAGGCCATGCGGAAGGGCGTGTGGTACAGTTTGGCAGCAGCTATCGTAGAGTGCGGTCGTGCTGCTGCGGTTCTCTTCAGTGAGTAAAATGTCTGAAAAAAACAACGGCGCTACGACGCTCTAAATCAAATTAATGTTCACCGCTTGCACGTTCCGAGATTCAGCGGTGAACGGGACACCCATCTTGCAACTTTCACATGTCTCAGAAAGGGTTAAGATATTTTCAGCCAATGAATGATGAGTTGTTTATTATACATGTGGGAGGAAACCGGAGCACGCGGAGAAAACCCACACGTGCGAGGGGGGCAACACTATCCCCGTACAGATGGAAACAGATTGCGATTAGTCCACTTGATGTACTGCCTCCTCCCCGACGCTCATGGGAAGGGAGTTTCACAACATTCGTGTGATCCACCAACTCTGGCTGCTGCCTCCGCAGGGCTGGACTAGAGGGCACGGGCAGCATAGCCACACCACCGCCTGGCGAGCGGAGGTGGTCTTTGGCAGCGAGGGTTCACAATGATGGATGGCCATTAACAAAAATGTGGCTTACTTGGTAGTGCTCGTTTTATTGAGGCCAAATCGACCAATCATAGCGATTGATGATGATGGCGATTGCAGAATTCCGAAAAAGTAATGTCAATTTGATAGATTACGATGATGAAGCTTTGAGCTTATCCTCAACCTGGATTCGAACTCACAACTTTGGATTGTGGGTTGAGCGCTGTCCCGAATGCAGCACACGTTGACAACTCGTGCCCGGATTTTAACCGCGACCCTCGTGCGCGCGTGTCGTCCTGGCGGTGATCTTGGCAGCACCTCAAGTACTTCACGCAGATCCACGTGCGATCCAGCCGAGGACGCAACCGCGTCGGGCGCAAGATCACGGGGATCGAGCCCCTTCCCGCGGAGAACAAGGTGCGGTAGCGGCCCTGTACCTTGTGTCCAACCCCCAATCCCCACGCCTGCCTCGTCGCGCCAGTCCCTGCTGCCCCAGTAGCGGCCTCTACGCAATTGGTGGGGAACCAATTGCCCCGTCAGTGGGCCAGACCGGCCCACGACTTCATTTCATAAGGCCGGTGGTTCCAAGCCAATGCGATGTAGCCGGAAAACGTTATCCATTCATCACTGCAAGCTTCTTAGCCGCACCATAATCGTGCACTAGAGAGGGGGGCAACGCTGCGTTTCTAAATTCAGCGTGCTCGCACATTTTTTGTGTGCTCAATCATCTTGCTTTTGACAGCGCTTGGCTTGAGATGCGGGTTACACGTGTCCACGTCTGGTTGACCAGTGGGGAAGGTATTTGATGAAAGTCAAACATATCCGGCCCTCGGTTATTAGCAGGTTTCCCCACATTATGGTCTACGCCCTCAAAAATTAATGTTAAGAGGTGACCAAAAGAAGAGTCTAACCGTTTCACCTAACTCGAACTCTAGCCCTAATGCTCAAATTATCTCTTAACATTATCCCTGGCCATTTATTTTAACCCAAACCCTGACTCTGACATTAACCCTAACACTATTCGCCACGCACTAACCGTGAAGCCAGTTGCATTGTGATCACGGAAAACACGCCAGGGTTGTACGTTCAACGCAAGTTCCATCCGTTATTTTCCTTTTGTGTCTTCGTCGGCAGATCCTCGTGACTTCAAATGACTCGCGAATCCGCCTCTACGACCTCCGCGACCTCTCGCTCTGCATCAAGTACAAGGGCAGCCTCAACAACAGCAGCCAGATTAAAGCCAGCTTCAGGTGAGAGGCACCGCCAATGCCGCTCGCATATTGCGATCCAGAGTCTGAGGGCCTGTCTCATAGAGGATCTCCCTCCGTCTTGCCGTCGCGAGACTGCCGACTCACGTGAGCGTAGAGGCAGTGCCCTCATCCTCTGAGCCAGGGGTGGAAATTCCACTTTCCTCTTGGTGGGGGCAAGTTTGCCGATAAAACAACCACTGCTGACTTCGCCGTAACGTGGTATTTCGTTTTACCTACCCTGGAGGGATTATGGGCTGAGTCGACCCATCCCCCCCCCGCCCACAACCAGGATGTGAACTCGTATCCTTGCGATCGCGAGCCACCCGGCCAACCAGCGTGCTGGAGGTGGGGGGGGGGTGGGTGACGGCCGGTGGGATAGCAACTCAGAAGAGTGTTCGTCAGCGATGACTGTCCCAGGAGGGAGCAGGAAGGCAAAGTCAGTGGTTCTCTACGACTGCGTTGCCTACGTATGGCCCAGTCAGCGTTTCTGCAATCGCTCGCTGGGCTGTCTCTCAGTTTCCGCCTGTGGAGGTCGTGGCGAGCGGACGTTCCGTGAGATGTGCCTTGGGCAGTGCACGGGGGTTGGGGGTGGGATAACGCAAAAACCCAATCAGTCTGACTGCTAGATTTGAAGTTTTCGTGACTGCAAGGATCCATACTCTTTGGTTCTTTTGGTAAAGTCAGGTAGGTGAATTTTTTTTTTTTACTAATATTTCTTGCTGTGGTTGTCACACCTGATGATGATTGCTTGTGTTGCAATCGAAACGTCGTGATTTTTTTTTCTCACTTACGTGACTTTACCGAAAGAACCTAAGAATACAAGTCTGACCTGCGCCAAACTTTCGGACCTCTGACAAGTTTACGTTTGCCGCCACCCCTCGGATGAAGGTCTGTAGATTTGGCGATGGTCACATTGAGGCTGAAACTGTTCAAGAATAAAGAGATTTCTTCTTCCCCCCCCCCCCAATGTCGTCCCGATTTTTTCGACTGGCCACTCGAATCTCTCGCAGAGTCATACGGCCCTTCGTGTAAGAGTGCAGCCTCACAGAGTCATACGGCCCTTCGTGTAAGAGTGCAGCCTCACAGAGTCATACGGCCCTTCGTGTAAGAGTGCAGCCTCACAGAGTCACGCAGCCCTTCGTGTAAGAGTGCAGCCTCACAGAGTCACGCAGCCCTTCGTGTAAGAGTGCAGCCTCACAGAGTCACGCAGCCCTTCGTGTAAGAGTGCAGCCTCACAGAGTCACGCAGCCCTTCGTGTAAGAGTGCGGCCCACAGAGTCATACGGCCCTTCGTGTAAGAGTGCAGCCTCACAGAGTCACGCAGCCCTTCGTGTAAGAGTGCAGCCTCACCGAGTCATACGGCCCTTCGTGTAAGAGTGCAGCCTCACCGAGTCATACGGCCCTTCGTGTAAGAGTGCGGCCCACAGAAGCGGATATCGCAGAACTGTTTGCGAGATCCCTTCGGGTGACCTCTAAGAACAGGTCGGCTTGTTAAACGGTCTTATCACGCGAGCGCCGTCTGAAGGCCGGCGCACTTGCGTTTCCCGAGCGCTCGCGCACATCAATGCTGATGTGTTTGAAGCCGCGCTTGAATCTGTCGGAGTATTGTAAATCGAATTTTTTTAAGATGCAATCCAAAAAAGCCAGCAGGTCTTATCTTTTTAGCTACACACTTAAGCTGTGTGTCCCGGGCTGTCCGACACGAGTTGGAAGCCGAGGGGGAATTTTTTTTTGTTAAATTGAACAAGTACCGGGTTCCCCTAGGTGAACTCAGCCTTTAATAAGTATTTGATGCTTCCCATGTAAACATGAATGCTGGGGAGATGCTCCAACGCATTGGTGCACCATGCCGACTTGGCTTTGTGGGGTTGTTTGCCCCAACCTCTCTCCCGATTGCGGACTGCGTGGCGCCACCTGATTTGTGGTGCATCACCAATATCGCAGAGGTGCTCCTGGGAAACCTTCAAGCGGCAGTCTCATCCACACATGGGGGCAGCACGTTGCCACACACCCCGCGAGAGAGACATGCTTTGTCACCAGTTGGTGATTTATTTTAATTGTTGAGCGCATGCATTTGGACAAATTAAGTGGGTTTTTTTTATGTGATGGGGTTTTTTGTGAAGTCGTCGGTTAGGCTAATGCTCAGTTTTATTCACGAGTGGCCAAAACCAGGATTTGAACCCAGGTTCTCAGCATTGCCGGCTCACTGCTCTGTCCGACCTCCTGGTGACCTCACCGCTGACTAAGATGAAGTGTCCACCAACAATACAATACTTGCCCTGGTGGTCCAAAAGGGCTACTCAGGAGTTGAAGCGTCCAGGTGGCGTGGAGGTCACAGCGCTGAGCTAACACGCCTAAGAGCCTGGGTTCACATCCAGGCAGCTGCCTGTGGTTAAACTGGGTTCTCAAGCGCAGTGAGTCGGTCTTCTCACCAGTGAATGTACAAACTAATCGTTGCAATAGATTTGGTTCTGCACTGAACTTGGCTAAATTTCACCTCTTGATAATTAAATTCATCGGTTAGGCTGTCGCATGACAAGCAGTACGCTCGGTGAGAAAGTGCTCCGCCTCTCCCGTGCGTACCAGAGGTCAATTGAAGAGGTCTCAGAGGTGGCTCTGTTATATCCACTTCCGCGTGCCGTTCTCTAATGGAGATGATCGCACTGCTGCTGTGCGAGAGATCCAAATGGATATTGCATCTCATCACTTGCATATCGAACAATTGGGATGCACTTGGAGACGATAATCATTAAGATTTAGCATGAGATGTGTTGTGTGTGTGCGCTTGCGTGCGTTTTTTCTTTCTCAGTCACAACTTTCAGCACATGGTGTCTGGATCCGAGGACCGCTACGTGTACCTGTGGAAGACCTACCATGACGTCAACCGCTTCTCCTCCGTCCGCAGGGACCGCAACGATTACTGGGAGGGCTTCAAGGGTGAGGATTGCAATCGGGTCGGGGGAAAAGGGCAGCGATTTCGATCCACGGCCACGGCTAATGACCGCGGCGAGTGATCTCTGAACCAGTCCTGCGTGCGCGTACCCCCTTCACCACCGCGTATTGATGATCGCGGTGAAGTATAGTAACCCCCTGTGACCAACACGACCTTCATTTAGCGGTGGATTGACAAAGGGCCGTGAATGGCACACGTGCCGCACTTTCTGCTCTCGGCGCATGGAACACCCGCGTGTCCCCTAGCGTCCACGTTTGTCTCTGCGTCCCCGTGTCTCCCCGTGCGTTCACCCCCCCCCCCCCCCCCCCCCGCAGCTCACAACGCAGTCGTGACGTCGGCGATCTTCTCGCCCCATCCTGCGCTCATCACCGGCTCGGACGTTCCGACGGTCGAGGAGGTGGTACCCAGTGAGGGCGGTGAGGGATCCACGGAGACCGGCACGGCCGGTACGCGCCACGCTGGCAGCCCCCCGTGTCGCCCCTGTGCCACCGCCGCTCGCTTTATCGCTCGTTCGCTCACTGGGCATGCATCCACTCGTGTCTTGTCTCATCCCGCACCGTGTTCAACCGCCACACTGCAGGTCACGATAACTCGCCCGCACATGCACACACCCGCTGATATACTCAATCGCACACACTCACCACTTACTCACCACCCACTCACTCACCACTCACTCACCACACATTCACCACTCACTCACCACTCACTCACTCACCATCCACCCACCCACCCACTCGTACTGAAACGCAAACTAGTTTGTCGAACACCACCACTGCCATAACATCCACACTACTAACATTTATGTGGCCAGTATATCCACATTCCCACAAGGGACGGGTTACTCTACACCACTACACATGCCACCACATTTGATTCAACCAGTCAGTATGCCTAACACCCCACCACCACGCACATAACCAGAATGTCCACCAAATTATTACAGATCCCACGTGTCTCCCTTTGTTCCTACATGTATCTCCACGTGTGTCCCCACGTGTGTCCCCACGTGTGTCCCCACGTGTGTGTCCCCACGTGCGTCCCCTCATGTCTCCGTTTTTCCCAGTGGTTCCCCATGCATCCTCACACGGCGCTGAAAGTTGCCCGTTGCCCCCCCCCCCCCCCCAGGTTCTGCCCGGTCAGAAGAGCACGGCGAGGTGTTGGTGACGGCAGATTTCACCGGCGCTATTAAGGTGTTTCACAACCGCACGCGCCGCACAGAACCGGCCGTGCCATGAGCATCGCCAGCACGGCAGCCCTCCTTCCTCTCCGTCTATGTCCCTGTCCGTGTCTCTGTCCGTGTCTCTGTCCAACTCTCACTTGGCGACAGCCACAACCTTGGCCCCTCTATCTTCCAACAGCCACGCTCGGGTTGCAATCTCTTAAAGGTACAATAAGACCATGACACACCATGGTTATGAAGAATATCTCACAATAGCAGAGAGAGGGGAGAATTTAATGTAAATGCATTGCCTTGGGTGGTGAATTATTATTATTTTTACGCAGCTGACAAAATCCGGGATTTTTTACGTCCTGGCGAGACCGACAGATTTTTCCCGTGACACAGTTTTGCCGCTTCCACGACAAGAGCACGATTCTGGGAAAACTGGGGACGGGGACAACCCGAGCTCACTCGGCCACAGAATGCGCTCCGCGATGTTGTGATCCTGCCGAGTGCCGTGGTGGTCGGAGCGCAGGGTAGCTCGCAAGCCCCCTGAGCAACGTTGAGTCTTGCCGAACTTAAAGGGATTATTCATCATCATCATTGCTTTCCAAATCCCCGCAGAGAGGGGGAGGTGGGGCATGCATCGCTGTTGATTCTCGAGGTAGAACGGTGAATTGTTGATGAACTAATTCGTTTTTGAAAATTGAAGTAGAGGTGCTGTCAGATACTTGGCACAAGTACACTTATGGGCACTACAGAGGCAGAAAATTCCAGCCTCAGAATTTATTTGAGCTTCTCTTGATTTCAGTTGCGGTGGGAATGTGTGCCGCTTGTGGTTGGGGAAGTGGCGAGATGTTGACTACCTCGCCTGGTCTGCAGGAGGTCGTGGGTGCGATCCCGACCCTGACGCCTGCTGTATATTTGGAGTTTCCATGTCTTTCTTACCGTGATCGTGTTGATTTTTCTCCGGGTCCTCCGGTTTTTCACTCCACATTTATAAACATGCATTTCGAGTATTTGGCTGCTATAAATTTGCATATGATAAGCCACTTTATTGGCCTATCATTTGTGGCTATGTCACTTCTGAAAAAGAGCTATACAGCTCGGTGAGCCTTACCTGGTCAAATAAAAATTGTTTATAGTTTAGTTTAAACGTGAACTCGTTGCATTTCAACGCACGTACGAATTTAGAAACACAGATTCTTACGCACGCCATTGGATGCGTGTATTGTTCGCTGAACCGATGCATCGTCTCGTCTCCCCCGTCTCTCTCCCACCTCCCCCCATCGCCCGTGGGGCTACATTAAAGTGTCAATGCTCGGAGACGGGGCTTTCATTGACGGTTGCGCATCCACCAGCCACTGCTTCGCTATCTGGCACAGCGTGCACGGACCAGGATTTAAATTGACGCCTCCCGATGTCCGTGTAATGCTCCTCCTCTGCCGCATGCGGGCGTCAAAATTGGGCCAAGTCGCGGGATGCGACAGCGGTTCGTCATACGACGCACAGCGAACTGCCCGTCGGTCCGCTGTGAGTATTACGCAGCGGTCGCTTAGTATACCTTAGACCAGGGGTCGGCAACCAAAATAACAAGAAGAGCCATTTCTTTCCAATTCGGTACAAAATTCAGTATTTCAAGAGCCGCAATGCATCTGAGTACATACTGTACATACGTACTCATCGTCAAGAAGCAGCCCGTAAAGAGCCGCATGCGGCTCCGGAGCCGTAGGTTGCCGACCCCTGCCTTAGACCATGTCCCGATCATAGCGTATGGTTCTATTACCCTGCTAAATGCTGCTGATGATGTTGTTGAATAATCCCTTCATATGCGTGCGTGTTTTAAGTGTGTGTGTCTTGGTGTTAAAAAAATTCTCCAAAGTTTAGACACATTTGCAACTGCAAAATCGCCAAGAGCAAATTCTGGAGTGCCCTCGAACAGACAAATGAAATTCCCTCGCTGCACACAAAAGGCATCGGGCGCACAAAGGACTGTGAGATTACGCAGCCAATTATGTGTGGGTATCGGGCGCCCATTTGTGGTCACGACATTTCTTGCGGGCCAGGATGGTGGCTCATACATTGCCAAAAGATGTGGTTTGGCTGAGCGAGTCAACCTCGCGTATCGTTGGCTGCGGGGATCTACAAACCCGTGTGGAGCTTTTTATGCCTTTTGCGTGCATCTCAAAGTTTCGCCGCGTTTCATGAGAGGCTACACCGTATTTAGTATTATGCGGCACGTGATGTGCTACTCGCGATGTCCGGATGTACGACGTCTTTGCTACAGACTCGAAAGAAAACTGCAGAGTTGTATTTCCGAGGCGTTACTTCCCCTTTATGTGGATGGATTGGGTTGAGCCTCAAACATGTTTAGCCTACAACACGTTTAAAACGAAAGGGAGGCGACGTAACGATATGTGCGGGTGTTCACGTGCGGGGGCACCCGCGCGCGGGTCTTAACGTGCGAGAGAAAATTGACGTGGCTTGACGTGACCGAAGCATTTTAATCCTGGGACGATTCGCAATCGTGCTTTGCAAGCGAAGTGCGGGAAAGCAAGCCGTCACCGTCTGTTTTGAGTTTCACGAGCGGTGGGGGGTGAATCTGGGAGCAGTTGTTATTTTAAAATTTCTTCCCTTATCTGGAAATTCGGCTGCGTTTCGGAGGCACTTTGCGATCAGCGATTCTGCGATCGATGGAAAGGTACACTTGGTTGCAGATGATTTTTGTTGGAGGGTGCGATATGATTTTGATTTGGGCTAGCAGCTAGTTGTTTTTCTGCAAGCGCGTCTGAGGTTTTCATTCCATCATCCCTCACTTCGCGCTGCAATCTACGCGTGCGTTCACTGCATCACGTTACAGTAATCGGTCTGCCCAATTACTGGCCTGAAATCCCGTATGATCACTGTTTTCAGCGGGTTATCGGATTACTTTTCTTAGCACGTAACTGCTGAATGCTTTGTACAAATAACTTTCATTTTGTTAATTTATATTTTAATGATTTCAATCACTTTGTTAAAGGAGGGGTAAGTGTTTGTGACAGCAGCTGGCGTTGATGCGAGGGCGGAAGCAGCCAATTCACGCAGAGTACACTCCCCGAATAAAGTCATCGTAAAAGCAGTTGGATTACATTCCTTTGGAAACGCCAGATGCAGGCCGGATTACGTGAGGTGGCTGTTAGATGGGAGTACGGGAAGTGGGTTACTGACCTATCTGTGTTGGTAAATTTTCTTTTGTAATATCTCGTTTGTACCTGAGAATTCTCTGGGTACTCTGGTCTTTCCCATTGCATGAGGAATCAGTCGAATATCGTCAATTTCAAGACTGGTGATACTGGATTCTGGAAAATCCTGGAGGCTGTGCTGGGTAAATTAATGACCCAACTATGTTTTAGCCGCTTAATCCTCCCGTTTTCTCATCGTTAAACACCTAATCGTTGCTTTTCAAACGCTTTCGTTCAACGCGTGCCGCCTTCAAACACGCAATCTCAACAAACCTTCTAAGTTGTGAATATTTTTCTCTGCGTTGTATTAAACGTGTCTTTATTTTATTTTGGTATTGCTTTTCTGAGATAATAATTGCCGTTTCCCGTGTCGTATGAAATCTGCCGTGTCCCCTACTCTGAATTGTGCGCTTCTACCAGACTTTTGCGCGTCCTTTACCGTGTGCCCGGGGGCTGTGTGGATACGTCGGCGTAACGTGCACCGAATGGCAACAGCAGAGCAACGTGTGATTTGGTTCGAAAGGCATCAGCCTCGCAACATTTGACGTCTTGTATTTTTGTACAATGTTTTTCTCGCCGACCGCAATATTTTACTCGATTTGTCGTCGCCGACTGAGAGAAACACGGGTTGGTCTTCGCTTCCTTCCTTCTGCCTGGTCTCGCACAGCTTGCTGCATGGCCAACACCCGACTGCCACGGTCTAGTCTCCCACCGAACAACGGAGTCAAGCCCTTGACAATAATATCCGTGGCATCCACAGACAGATACCATTGGCCCTTACACGAGAGGGGGCATCGTTACAGGACGTTGGGTAGGAACCTACCGGTCTCTTTCCCATTCAAACTTAATACATTTGCCGATTATAGAAAACGTAACTATCAAATCAAGATGCCTCCTCCTCTGCCGGATTACTATTTGAACATTTGGCATGGGGGAAGTGGCCTCGTGTCTCGGGCCTTTTCATAATGTGGCCGTGGCGGAGGTGCTGAGTTGGCAGCTCTGAGATCCTGGGTTCGAAGTCATCTCGCAATGACGACACGGGGTTCTCTCTCTCTGGCACGCGTCCGTGTTACTCAGCCCGCTCAACGGTGACCGCTTTACCCGATCCAACATTCCAGTTCCGAGGGGCACTCATCGCTCCCGTTTGCAACGCCGCGATCAGCGTTCTTCAGAGACCTAATGAGCTGTGGCCAGCTGGATGGGGCTTTGCCGGATAAATGAATAGCGTAGTTTAGTTTAGTAGATAATTCACTGCAGGGGTGGAGTGGTGGCCCAGTGGTGAGCGCACACCGTGCTATGAACCCGACAAGCCGAGTTCGATTTCCAGCCACGGCTGACATCCGTGGCGAGTGATATCAGAACCGGTCCTGCCCATCCCAACCAACCCGCACTACTAACCAGTGTGGTGAAGTATTGTTAAATAAAAAATAAAATGTAAATCCTGTGACTGACATGGTGTGGTGGTGGGGGGGGGAGGTCTTAATCCATTGGTGGATTGGGAATGGCTGGAATCTATTTATTATTCTTCTCTTTTACGTGTCCGAGAAGGTGGAGGCATCGCGTGAGACGGCGCTGTGTCCGGGGGGCCAGGGCCCCGTGCCGCGGGGGGCCGTCGCTGCGACGGCCCCCCTGAGCGTTGTTGCGGTGGAGGCCGCCGCCTTGTCCCAGAACCTGCGTGGCGACGCTGCAGCGTCGTTTTAAACGTAAAAAAATAAAATAAAATAACAACGCGTGCGGAAGTGTTTTACCTAAAAAAAAAACATCGAATTCGATTTTTTTCCGCTGCCTCCCGCCGATGATTAAAAAAGACGCGGGTGGCCGCTTTAAAGTGGGAGCAGCTATAGGGTTATCCACTCGTGAAGGCAAAGGTCCGCTGGCCTGCGTGACTCACGCCGCTGCTGGCGGAAGAGCCTCCGCTAAGGGGGGGGAGTGCCATGGAGCGAGTCCCCGCTCGAGCGTGTTTTTGGCCTCCTCTTCCACGCTGGTTCGACGTCACGGGGAGCGGAGGGAGTCCCACCAACACTTAACGTCTGGGATAGATTACATTCAGTTGTGAGTCCTTAAGAGGGAGCCTTCTCGTGCACACACAAAAACTACAACCCCTTCACCAATCTTCGCGAAACCTAACGGAATCCAGATTCGTAACGTTATGCCGTGTGTCGGTGCGATTACATCTGCATGCACTCCTATCTGCACGCAGTCGATGACAACCTCCTAACGGCAGGAATCGGGCTCCCTTTAAAGACTGGCTTTGCCGGCTTGTTCTAATTCTCGCCACAAAGGAGAAAGATAATGGATTTGGCCCCTAAGTTCATTGTGAAACTGTCTTGATAAGGCCGGCACGGGAGTACTTTCTCTGTGCGCGCCCTAAATGGGTTTCCTAATGCATTTTGAGCTGCATTTAGCCAGTGACACGGCAACTATTTACCCCATTGAAATGTAAAAGTCATCGATGATTGTATTTTTTTGGAAATCACGCTCGCTCCCATTCTCGTACACACACGCGCAATGCTTGCACACACGTCTATACAGACCACATGCATAGGTGCACACACGACTCTTTTTGTCAATCCGCTGCTAGATGAGGGCCTCCCCGCGCCGTGCGGGGTCGTGCTTGGTGGAGTTGGGGGGGGGAGCATAGACGTGGTAGAGTACAAGGTGGAGTGTTGAGGCCTGAAGCAGGCCCGGCTGCCTCTTTCTGCTCGGTGCTGATGTTTGTCTGTTCGTGAGAGTATGGCGACCGCTTCAGACAATCTCCACTCGAGTTGCCGTGGCTGGGAATCAAACAGAGGTCGCAGGGTTTGGTCTGTGCCCTAACCGCAGCGCCACCGCTCCTCGCACGCAAACAGATGAATAAACACGTACCACACACATGCTCCATACAAAGATAAAGCTAAAGCCCCCCCTTCCCCATATAGACTTAACAGACCGTTGAGACAAGTGCTGTTAGCGAGCTTCTACGAAGGCCGGCATGGCATACGAGGGGGTTGGTGGTCGGCACGGCACCCAGCCGCCTTTGTCTCCCTCGTGGCGATATTTACTCCTCACCAGGTGGTTGAGTGGACCTAGGGGAGGCCCAGGACCGGTTCGGATAATCGTCACCGGTGTTCGCCGTGAGCGGAAATCGAACGCAGGTCGACGGGTTTTGTAGCACAGCGCGCTAACTGCTACTCCACTCCCGCTGCACACGTACGCTCATGGATAGACACGGGTAGACGTGTCCACACACATACGCACATGTGCAGTCAAGCACAATTCACATACACTGCGAGTGTGAATAGAAAATTGTATGTAAAGGGAAACAAAATTGTGATGCGATGGCAAATAAATGTGTGTGCAGATTTTGGCGAGAGATGATTGTCCACAATGCACGTGGCATTCAATTTAAAAATCGCACCGACCCATCGTAAATTGTGACATTCAGCTTCATTATCGTACCCGTAATAGCACAACCGGTATTTCACCATTATTTATTCGCGCCTGCAGATACAGCAGTAGCTGCTGGCATTTTAAATGCATGGCCTAAGTTTGCAAGGAATTGAACCTGCAACTTTTATTACAATAGAAAATTATAGCTGACCCCAGGTCTGTGTTGCTATAAGAGAGAAACAGCTCTTGTCACCCTGCACATAAATAAGGGATTAATCAATGCGATCCGCCGACTTCAATTTAACCCGATTATCTGAGTGGGGGGGGGGGGGGGGGGGTGGGTCCCCTACTGAATGGCGCTGAGATTTTGAGGTGTGGAGCCAAATATGCCTGGCGCAGGACCCTCCTCTGGCTCGATCAGAGGCTCGTGAATGAGCGCGCGGTATTCCTGGGTTCAGGCCGTACCGATGGACGGTGATAATGGTGAAAATGCAATTTTATTTGTTGTTAATCAACAATTTGGTGAATGCTATTTTGTTGGTGGTTTTTCTATGTTCGAGACAGGTCTCATGTCATGCTTGTGCTCAAATCTTTGCAGCCTTATGTTGAGATTTTTATATCTATGTTTAAAAATACATCGGCTTAATTTTCCACCAAACGGTGTCCCGGTTGTGCTGTTAACGGCACAACGAGCGAAGCTTATTAAAACTCCCAAGTAGCCCAGTGATCCTGGTGAGAGATCAATCTTACAATGGCTTGTGGACTGGACTTTCCTCCGACGTGCGTTCTTCTTCCAAGTCCCGTCGCGTACCTGCGCTTTATTCGTCGGAGTGCATTCAGATTTGTGTTATTTATGCAGTCGTCAGTGACGGAGCCGAGGCGTGAAAACTCCGCGCGCGCAGAAGAGCCGTGTCTAATCGCGCGGCGGGCGTTTTGTGTTAAAACGAGTCGCCGATGACGTGTCCAGCGACGCGCTAAGTCATTCCACGTTTTTATTTAAAGTTGCCGAATTCTGTTACGGACTAAAGTGTGTTTCGCACCGTTGGGTTACAACGTGCGTCAGCTTTTGTACGGCGGCTGAGATTCGCAAAGTGTGAGCCATTCCTTTCTGCTTCCCGAGCTAAACCCGTTGTAAATACGGAGAGTTCTACGCAACCTTTGTTGGGAGTGATGCCGGGACTAAAATACTTGGAATCAACTGTTGACGCGGATGGTTTTTTTTTTACGAAACGACTTTATTGTGTTTGTGTATCCGCCCTTTGTGTCGCTTAACTCGGAAAGAGTTCTCGTTAGGCATCTGTAAACACACTGTCGGTGATGGGAAGAGTCTGTGAACTGGTGTTGAAAGCGATGACAAAGAAATCACTCTCCTTCGCATGTTTATGTCTCTCCACATCAAGTAAAAGTGTTTCTTCCTTCGATTTGGGATCCCATAGCTTCAAGAGAGGAGCCGTGCTTATGAGATTGGCAGTTCACTAATATTGACTCGAGCAGCAGGTCTGACCGCTGACGCTGAGTGTCAAAACCGGCCAAGGGTTTGCTCGTCTTGAAACAATGCCGCTTTGAAGGCGTGTACACTCCCAGAAGGCCGTCCCGGCCGATGGCATGTGTAAGGAATACTTTTATATATTTTTTGTACGTGTGGAGAGACGGATCATCCGCTTTTTTATTTTGAAAGCGACGAGTGGCCGTGAACGAAGCTGCGTTGATTTCTCCGTACGGTCTCTGTGAAGCGAAATGACATTGGTCCATCATTGCCATCGTCGCACCAAGGCTATTGCTACTCGGCCTGCCGACATCGCCCGCTGCACCATCGCCACTCGCCGATCACTCTCCCCGAAAGTGATTTGTGAATTGGCAGCATGTGGGACGTGCTGGGAGCCAGGCATGCTGAACGTGGGGGGGGGGGTTTCTCCAGATTGTTAAGATTTTTCTGCATTTTTCAGTTGACTCGCAAACACGGGGTGTTTTCAACCCATTGTGAAAATGCACTTCAGCGTCAAATTTGGCAAAGTGTTGCATTTTTGCGCCATGCTTCCGCTGGGTGCTGAAGCACCCTGCTAGTGATGTCGTGAAGCGGACTTTTCCATCGGCCCTTGTGTGAGCACAGCCTTAATCCATTCCCTTTGCCAATCCACAGCTGGATGATTAAGCTTCCCCCCCATCCCCCACCCATACTGTTTCAGTCCTGAGATTGTTTCACCGCACCACCCAAGGGCAGTTTTGGTTAGCGCGGTTGTTAGCGTGGTGGTTAGAGCGGTGGTTAGCGCGGTGGTTAGCGTGTGCACCGCCGCTCTGCACCACACGTCATCAGTTCCACTACAGGTCACAGGTCACAGCTCACAGGTCACAGCTCACAGGTCACAGGTCACAGCTCTCACAGCTTTCACAGCTCTCACAGCTCTCACAGCTCTCACAGCTCACATTCATGGTGAGTGATATCTGAACCGGTCCTGCCCCCCCCCCCTCCACCTTCACCAAACTGCACTACTGACCTGCCTGGTGACGTATGGCCTAACAACCATCGCCGACGTAGCGTGGGGCAGGCCGCCTTCCAGAAGTAATTTTTTATCATTATTTTGAATTCATGCCATGCACAACCAGTTTACATTTTCACGTGAATTCTGCTGTCTTCAATGCTTGCTTGGCGTTTCAAGCGACCAACTCACGGCCAACTTGTCATTGAGACTCGCAGTGGAATCGGCATTTGGTAAGTTTTCCTACGAGCTGGAAAACCTGGTCGATTTCAGATGGAGCTAATGAAGAATTGCACCCAGGTACAAGACGTTCATAGGTGTGGGGGGGGGGGGGGGTTGGTGGGTCACGAATAGATAGTCACGTCCTGCAAAGTTCCCAAACCACTGGGCTGCGAGATGGCCAGGATGTGGCAGTACAGCAAGTGGGTGCTTGACTCGTATATGCACTCCGTTCATTGATATCTCCTCCTATGATCCAGGTTCTTCCCACTTGCAAAGCACTCGACAACAACAACAACGGAATTGACCAAAAGCACCAATGCAAGACCCTCTTGAAAGTGGTTCTGGATTCGGTGAGGCTCCCCTGCATGAAGGACAATTTTATTAACAATTGACATTGCATTTAATAAAATTGCTTTCAACATTATTTGAATACGTATCTATATATGTAAACACATAGATCCGTCAGCACAAGAATATTGGCACGTACCCTTCAGCACGTGAGCGGTCACTGTTGCACATTCGGTCGTGGGACTTCGACGTCAACTCCAGCTGGTTCGGCAAAGTTGTGCGTGCGGTAAACTGATGTGTATGAGAGAGTGGTTTGGCACTGGATTCACCATCGTCGTCGTCGTCATCATCGTTGTGTTTCATTCATCCTGTTATCTCCATTCGATAATTCGCGATCGTCACATTTTTTTTGTTCGTTAGGTTATCATCGTCTAGTCAAATTTTTATCGCATTTCATCACCGGCAAAGTAGCATCACGTTTCATCTCATCTTCAGCCACGGCCCGTCCAACTGCTGGATGAAGGCCTCTCCAAACCACCGCGTATCACTTAATTGTTAAAGTCGTATTTATAGCCATGTTTATTGTCGTCGCGTTTATTGAAATCATGTTGCTATTGTTATTTATCCCTGTTATCACCACAGTAAATCACTTTTTTTGCCCTAAATCACAACTCCATTGATCTCATGATTTTCATTACATGGTTGCAATCACGTCATCATGAAACATCATCGGTCACCACAATCACCATTATCATCACTCTTAGAACGGCAATTCAACTGGAGTCGCTGCCACCCGTGGCCCATTTGAGCACATGGGACGCGATGCTCATGGGGCCATGGAGACTGCATATTTGTGCTGTTCAACCGCCGCAGAACTTCCCATACACACGCGTGGTGGTGCTTGTGTGTAAACGTACAGCCCTTCAGTCGGTCTACTGCTGAATGAGGGGCAATCCCCATTGCGGGCAGCTCGCCGTGCAGAGTTACTACTTCACCCTGCTTCACCGTGCTGCTCTGTGCGGGTTTGCCGTTGATGGCGGAGGGTGGGGGGGGCCGTGAGCATCCACGTCGAGAGTCACAGCTCGGCAATTAACAGGTCGGCAATTAACAGCTCGGGTTTTGCTGCACCAGCACCCTCCTGGCAACGGAGCCCCGCAGCCGCCCGGAGCAACCGGTGGTGGCCCCGCCGTGGTGGCAGTCTCCCAGCCCAGCCCAGCCCAGCGCTGGTTCGGGCCTCTTCCCTCTTGCTTAGGCTCCCGAGATCTGAAGAGGTGGCGGCGGGGGGGGGGAGCATTCCGGCCGATCGGGTCACGGTGTACGTGAATGTTGTGTATATATTCTGTAAATGACTGCTGATAGGCACCTTAAGAAGAGCGTTTCGTGGTTATTTGCGTAAAGCAAACGACGCGCATGTGCGTGCTTGCACGTTCTTGCCAGAGTGAGTGCACGGCAGCCTGGTTGCTTGGGAGTATGCATTGGTATGAGCACTTTGGCTGTGGTGGTGGTGGTGGGGAAACGCAGCCATGTGTGAGCGGTGTGCATTGGATTTGGTTTCATTTGGTTTGCGACAAATGTTCTCCAAAATTGTCGCCCAGCGGCGGTGTGGCTATCGAGAGTGCAGGCGGTGCAACTGCGTCCTGCGCCCCACCGACTGGAGGGGCGCTGATGCCGGGAACCGACCCCCGCTTAGTTTCCTGTACCATGGCCGATGCCGTCTGTGCCGCCACCGATGGCTGTGTTTGGGGTTATTGTGTTACATCGATGCGATTCGGTACTAAAGCTTCGTTCATATGGGGGATTTCTTTCTGCTTAACATGTTCTGATGGGCGGCGACTCTGCGTGCAACTGATGTTCAGTGTCTCCTTGTGGTATTTGTTTATTAAACGAGGGGGAAAAAACCCGACTGGTTTGAATATTTCCTCCGTTGTCAACAGAAGGCTGTGGCTTGTTTAAAATATATATATATCTATATACACACCCCCAATTTCATCTCAAGTGTGCTATCAGCATCCCGTCACGAGAATAAGAATCCATTCATATTTATCAGAGTGGTGTGGCTCTTCGTGTTTCAAGAACGGCCCCACGGATGCGGGTATCAGAGAGCTACCTCTGAGATCCCTGCAAGTGACCTCACCCTCAGTCACGTGAGTCGACGGATTCAGCGCCGGTCGCCAATGACTGCAAAGATGACGAAGATCTCCCGTATAGCCTTCACAGACTTGGGGCAAGTGCTGTTAGCGAGCACCTATGAAGGCCGGCACGGCACATGAGGGGGTGGGTGGCCAACACCAGACCCCGGCGCCTTTGTCTCCCCAGCGGTGATGTTTACACACTGCACCAGGTATTCATTTGATGCTGAGCCGACCTAGGAGAGGCCCAGGATCGGTTCAGATCAGTCACTGGTGTTGGCCTTGAGCGGGAATCGAACTCGTGTCGCCGTGTTAGTCGCTACACGACGGCTCCCCACGCTGGGGCCGGTCACCGATGACTGCACACACTAAACATGCCACCACATTTTATTTGGTTTCCTCACTTAATTTCGTATCGGATAATCTTTGGAGCCTCTCACCATTAAACTGCAATGCGACAAACGTTACGCTCGCTGGCAGAGCGGGTGGGGAAGTAAAACTGAACTTTAAACTTTTTATTTTACCAGGCAAGGCCCACTGAGCTATTTAGTTAATTTTTCGAAGCAACCTGGCCACAAATAATAGCTCAACGAAGTGGCTTATCACGTGGAAATTTATAGCAAATACCCGTGGAGGCAAAGGCCCGAGAAATCCACGCAACCACGGGGCAAGAGACTCCGCAAATCCCATATCTACAGGCGTCGAGATCGGGATCGAACCCACGTCCTCCTGCATCCCAGACGAGGGAGTTTAAACCTCGTCACTCGGGAGCCGCACGTGCTTCCCCCTGAACCAGAGGTCACTTGCAGGGATCTCAGATGTAGCTCCCTGATATCCGCTTCCGTGGACCCTTCTCTAAACAGGAAGGGTCGCGTTGCTTTTGCGAGAGACCCCAACAGTCTTCATCTCACGAGCACGTGACGCCAATGCCACACTGGGGATACATTTGCGGGAAAATAATAGTTTCTATTCAAAAGCCTTTTTCTGAAAATGCAAGGCGACTAGAGGGGGAGTGTGTGTTCGTGTACACACTGTGTGCAGCTATGCAGACCGCACGTAATTACCCGTTATGGACTGTGGAATTGAGTGGGTTTCAACCCAAGCCGACACTGCCTCCTAAACCACAATTATTTGAAAAAGCGGCTGTGTTCGGGAAAAAGGCTTTTTGCAAAGAAGGTAAGTTGAAATCCCCTGCTCTATATAAACCTGATTATGTGTCATATTAATAACCACAGTAAGTTGCATTCACCGGCGCGCACGGAAAGACCCGGTCACAAAAGGGATTTCTTCTCTTCAATATCCCCCCGCAAGAAGCGGTTTTTTGAAAGGTGGTGGGGAGAGAGAGAGAGAGAAATTGAAAATGGGGAAAAAGGGAGAGAAAAAATCTTTAAGATGGCATCTGTCATTTTTATGTGAAGTCCATTATTTGCGCGGTGGTTTAAGGTGGAAATGATTTAAAAAGTTGCCACGCGGAATTGAGTGCCCCTGCGTTATGGGAGCAAGTAGCCCTTCAGAATTACAGTGTTGAGGGTTGCTCTGTGTGTGTGAAGATGCCGTTAATAATGACGAGGACGACGACGACGACGACGTTATTTATACCGCCTGCTCATGCCACGATTTTGCTGCACTCGAAGCCCCGCTGGGCGGCTCTTCTCCCAGGCTCCGAGACTTCAGTTTCCTCCCACACGTGGACAATTGTACGAACCTGATGATTGCTAAACGGGCCAAGAAAATTCCATGCGCACGCCTTGGTTGTGACGCGCTTTGGTCTTCGGACCCATTTTATTGTTGACCCATTCCATTGTTGACCCATTCCATTGTTGACCCATTCCATTGTTGACCCATTACATTGTTGACCCATTACATTGTTGACCCATTCTATTGTTGACCCATTACATCGTTGACCCATTACAGCGTTGGTCTTCGGACCCATTTTATTGTTGACCCATTCCATTGTTAACCCATTACATTGTTGACCCATTTCATTGTTGACCCATTCCATTGTTGACCCATTCCATTGTTGACCCATTCCATTGTTGACCCATTCCATTGTTGACCCATTACATTCACAGTAACAGAGGCCGATGGCCGGTTGTCGGAGCAACACGCGATTTTCGAATCCGTGACATTTGCTCCGGATTGTGTCTCTCAAGTTTGGGGCAACGCTTCAATCAACCTCCGATGAGTTCGGTTGGCCACGTATGGTGCGAAAGAAGTTCAGCATACGTACAATGTGTTCGGTTGTAAATCGGGTAAGTTGCTAATAGCGGCGCAAGTGTGAACTCCTCGGCAGAGTGTCAGAACTGTTACAAAGGAAGCATCTGAAACGGAAAATGGAAAAGTCCGAAAAATATCCGAAATTGGACTTTACATTTTTTTAAAATAATTTTATTACAAAAACTCAGGCCTCGTGGGAATCTGCAGCCTTCGCGAACTATCGAGGCGTGCATTTAAATGCTCGATATCTTCCTCACAAATGTGAAGTCGTTGCACACGCCGCGCGCACCCGATGATTGCTCAATTCGTCCCACGTGACCAGAGTGCGCCGAGTGCCGTCACGTGATACACGTGCACACGCGTGTGTGTAGAACTTCCTTCGCACCCTACGTAGCCCACCGTGCTCATCAGAGGGACGTGCAGCGTGCAATGATGACTCAAGTTGTGTTTGACACCGCTGCTCAACATTTGAATTGAGACGGGAAAACGACGAACTGCACATTTCCCAAAATCGAGGTTTTTTTGGTTGGCTGTGTCGGGTGGTGGCGGGTTTTAACGACACGTAGATTTACGCGATCTAACCCAAAAAAAACCTCCGTTATGGATGATCTTGGCCGCGAAAGCCTCCTACGTGTTAAACTGCACATTTTGCTGTGTTTCTGCTCATGTACGCAAAAAACAAAAGGTGCACCTAGCCTGGCACAAGAGTCCCCACCACGAAGTGGCGAACGGCAGTTGTTGATGTCATTATTTGCACGAAGCTGGCCACCTAAGTTCGATTCCCGGGCATGGCTACCATCAGTGGCAAGAGCCAGAATGTGTGCTGTGCCGAGCACACGTGGGTCCCCTCGGCACGAGATGGGGTACAGTGCCTGGCGCGGTGTCGACACAATATCAGACCTGGGAAGACAAAGGCGGAACCGGAATCAGGATATTTGTTTCGACTGCAGGAGGAGGAATCCGATGAGCTATGCAGCTCTTCATCACAGAGGTCCCAAGTAGGAGGCGGGTGAAGAAGTCACAACAACAAACGATACAAAAAAACACGACAAGATCGCAAAGTATAGCAAAGGTAAGCAAATCACTATTTAAAAAATATATATACAAGGATTCATACTCTTTGGTTCTTTCGGTAAAGTCACGTAGGTGAAAAAATAAAAGAAAAAAGAAAAATTAATATTTTAAAAAATATACAAAAAATATTCACAAGTAAAACTAAGCAAATGTTTATCTTACTAGCTAAAGCCCACTGAGCCTATGAGCATATTTTTTGTCAGCGATCAGGCTGGTCGGTGCTGGCCACACCACCTCACCGCCTGCGACGTTTTCCCAGCCTTAATAGGTGCTTGCTAACAACACTAACAGCCCGTGCAGCAGCGAAATCAACACGTCCAATATTGTGTCTTTGTGCGCGCCGTGACACAGACAAGTCAGGCCCAAATGCACAGAGTTTTTTTTTTTATCGCAAGCCACAATCTGCACGGAGAGAGAAAAAAATAAACAAGAAAACATATAAATAAATAACCCCACAAAACTGACAAAATAATAATGCATCTCTTTCTTAAACGCGCACACACACAGAGACACACAGACGCACTCACAGCCTCCCAATCCTTTTCGCAGATAAATAAAGTTGTAATGGAAAATTGACCCATACGGGCCTTAAAGGATTAGATGTTCTCCCCTTATCTTGGCAGTTCGGTGAATATTTTTTTCTCTCTCTCTTTTCTCGCCTCTCTCCTCCTCCTGCTGCTGCTGCTTACAAAAAAATTGCAGCCGCCCCGCTTTCACGAGTTTAAAAAAATAATAATAATGGGAAAAAAATATACCGTGTCTAAAAAAAAAATATAATACTAAAGATTTTTTTTTGTACGTCTCCTAGGATACAGATTGTCAGGTTCGGACAATTCCTCGCTGTCGAGAAGATAAGGACTGCTTCATCCCGCGCATGCGGCTAAGCACTTGCATTAGCTCATAACGAGCTGTCACGCGAGTGACGGCTATTGAGCGAACAGCGCCTCGTGGTCGCGGCATGGCCAGAGCCCCGTGGTGGCGACAGAGATAGCGGCCAGAGACTCCGCGCACGCTGAGTCAGTGGTGGGTTTGAGTGAGTGGGTGAGTCAGTGGTGGGTGTGAGTGAGTCACGTGACGCACGCTGAGTCAGTGGTGGGTGTGAGTGAGTGAATGGGTGGGTGAGTGAGTCAGTGGTGGGTGTGAGTGAGTCACGTGACGCACGCTGAGTCAGTGGTGGGTGTGAGTGAGTGGGTGGGTGAGTGAGTCAGTGGTGGGTGTGAGTGAGTGAGTGAGTGGGTGAGTGAGTCAGTGGTGGTTGAGAGTGAGTGAGTGAGTCAGTGGTGGGTGTGAGTGGGTCACGTGGTGCACGCTGAGTCAGTGGTGGGTGTGAGTGAGTGAGTGGGTGAGTGAGTCAGTGGCGGGTGTGAGTGAGTGAGTGGGTGAGTGAGTCAGTGGTGGGTGAGAGTGGGTCACGTGGTGCACGCTGAGTCAGTGGTGGGTGTGAGTGAGTGAGTGGGTGGGTGGGT